AAAAAAAAAAAAAAAAAAAATTACACTGTGTTCCCATCCCCTTATTCACCGGATCTGGCACTGTGTGACTTTTGGCTCTTTCCCAAAGTCAAAAATAACCAAGATAGTTAAACATTTTGAAACCATTCAGGACACTGAGGCAGCCATAACAGTACACATGTTCATGAAAAAGGATTTTCAGAACTACTTCAGAAAGTAGCAAGAGCAATAGGTGTGTTTGAAGCAGGAGGGAGTATTTTAAAGGAGGTTAATGGTAACGTGTCTTTCACTGTAATAACGTTTTTTTAAATTTAACATTCAATGTATTTTTTATCATACCATATGTCCTCAGAGCCCACTTAGTTCTTGGGTACTTTTAAGTGTTCATGTACCTGCCATCCCTCACCCCTAGGAACGCCTTACTAATACTATTCAATCTCCTGATTAACTTATTTGTATGCTTAAATGTTTATTATCTTTTTAATTAAAAACTTCACAAAAACACATTGTATTGGGAGTTACTAAATCTGGGGAGATTTCCATTTTACAAATACAGTATTGGAGAGGGCATGATTGTGGGCAGGTGGGCTCTGACTTTGTGAGAAAGTTACCAAGAGGGCAATTTTGGGAAGCCCTCTGTGGCTGCATTCTTCTGTCTACTGGGTGAGATTTTGTTTTAGGTCCATTTTATTTGGTGTGAAATTTGGGGAGTGGTTATAAGGGTGCATGAGAGAATAATTCAGTAAGCTGGGCATTAGTTTTACATACCTTTCTGTATTGGCGTAATATTTAACGATGAGTATTTTTTAAATCTCTTCTTTCAAAATGCACGCAAAATTCTTGAGCCGTACTCAGTGCGGTGCAGGTGCGGCCTCAGCCGTCAGGTCCAGAGTATCCCGTCATTGTGAGGCCTGCCTTCAAAGGGGCCAAGTGGCCTCCACAGTGGGCCAAACAACCAAGGACCATAACAATAAGAACTATAACTCGCCTTCGCCAAACCGCAGAAACCTTTAGGTATCGCTTGCCCGAGGGCCCGAACTAGGGGAAAGCGCAAGTGCTGCGCCCGGGCGCGGCTCTCGCCGCGCCCCTGGCGGACCCCTTCCCGC